CTGCCATTTCTAATTTAGAGATGATGCAACAAAAGGAGGAATACAATCCAGTTGCTTAAACTCTTGTTCTTTCTCCAGACATAGCTAAGAAGCCTTGGTAATCCTTGGTAATTTTCAAAACCTCAGTTCTCGGCCCTACCCTTCCTGCAGGCTTCCTTAAATATTTCCTGGATCAGCTGCTCTCCACCCCCAGCCTGACAATTTTATTCTTGTGCTTAGGAAAGGTTTTGAGTGGGAAAACGGCCTGGCTGGGTGTTCCAGCTAAAAAGTGAAAATGACAAGAGGAGGAACATAAACAGGGTTACTGAGGAGGTGATGAGGGAATTTTTCCTCGGGTTTATAGAACATGTACTTTTCCAAGTACTCTAATCTGATCCACTTTAATAGAAATCAGAAGGCCAAAGTTCACTGCAAATCTTGAGGAATGAGTGAAGGACGAGACCAACAGTCAGAAGTAAGTTGTTAGGCTCTTCCTGTACAAACTCTACTTCAGGATAACAAATTGTTGACGAGGGAAGGTTTTCTTTTTTAGAAGAAGAATCGCAGCTAATGAATGGAAGAGGAATGAGAAAATTAGAGAATCCCCAGTTTACAATTTCTGATGACACGAGGGTCTAGGTAGTCATCAGTGGCTCCTAAAACCTTAGACGAAAGGTTGACGGATCTCGTGATGCCACCCGCTCAGCGCTGAGGTCAGGAGGCAGCGCATACCTACTGGATTTCTGGACGTGCTGCCATACAAGGCCCACTGCTGCACCTAAAAAGTACTCTTGTCAGAGTAATTCAGCTGGAATTTAATCAAGCCTCGAGAGCTAACTAACTACTGGGTTTTTTAAGGAAAAAGTGATATGGGAACATGTTTAATGACACTATAATGGAAAAGCAATCAGCCAAATCCAGAGTGTGGGAAATGTTACATATTCAGTGACCCAGTTCCTTCAACAGTTGTCATTAAAAAAGGGGGAAAGGAAGGGACCATTAGAAATTGAGGGGAGAGACACATCAAGTGTGTGTGGATCTTGTTTTGATCCCGATTCAAGTAAACTGTAAAAGGCCTTCTTTGTGTGCATTTATGGAAAATATGGTTATGAAGGAATTAATTACAGCTTATTAGGGATGATAACGGTTTGGTTATGTTAAAAATACTTCCATTAGAGATACCTGTTGAAATGTTTACAGGAGAAGTGATGTCTGCAGTTTGCTTGAAAAAAAAGTTTGTTTTGGGGGAACAGGTGACCTAAGAACAGTGATGTGTAGATAGGTGAAGCTGATTATTATGAACTTATTAACTTTTCTCTCCCTCTGAGAAATGTTTTAATTTTTATTATGAAAAATGTCAAAGTAGGCAATTAAAAGTATTAGGGATATTTTTGTCGTGTGGTCTCAGGAAGTTTTACATATTGATAGTCCTGGTTTTTCTTTTTTTTGTAGATAGAAAAAGTTTATAAGAATGGGTGCCGTGTTATATTGTTTCCAAATGGAACCCGAAAAGAAGCGAGTGCAGATGGAAAGACGGTCACTGTCACTTTCTTCAACGGTGATGTCAAGCAGGTCATGCCGGATGGGAGAGTGGTAGGTTTCCACGGGCGTGTTTTGTCCGTAGCGTAAACACCTCTGAAGAGGAGGCAGTGCTGACTCTGTGTCTTTGCAGATCTACTACTACGCAGCCACACACACCACCCACACCACGTACCCAGAAGGACTGGAAGTCTTACATTTCTCAAGCGGACAGATAGGTGAAAACCTGCTGTGCCCTCTCAGTTATTACATTCTTCCTTTCTTTAAAAATAAAATATTTATGGTAACCCCTTTTTCTACAGAAAAACATTTCCCAGATGGAAGAAAAGAAATCACGTTTCCTGATCAGACTGTCAAAAACTTGTTTGCTGATGGACAAGAAGAAAGCATTTTCCCAGATGGTACAATCGTCAGAGGGCAACGGTACGTTACCTGTTTTGTTTCTAGATTTTCTAGTTTTCAACTTTTATTACCAGCTGAATTTTAAAAATCTTAAAACATTTGTGTAAGTCATTCAACATTTCACTGAGTTCAGAATTTGAGAGCAGGTGAGACATGTTTTCAGCATTCTGGAGTTTAGGATGAGGTTGAGATAAATGCATTGTAACGTCTAGGATAATCTTTAGCCTACAGACCTCTAAAGGGTGTCTGAACAGCACTTCACGAAAGGCAAATGGCAAGTATTTGTTTAGAAATCAATCTGGTGAAATTTGAAAACAGTGAGTGAGACACAAGGAAGGAAAGCTGCCCTGTCAATTTTTAACAATAACCAGACTCTGTATTTTGATTATCTGGGTCTCCCTGTCCCAGCGTAAGCACTTTACTCTCTGGCCACCCTAAGCCAATTCCTTAAAATCAACAATTATCTTTCTTTCTCCTTCTGAGTGTTAAATGTCTTGAAGTTAGAGTCAACTTCTTCAATCCACAGTGAAGAGCATCTTATAAGCACCATTTTAATTGAAACCTTGGTGGAGTTTTGTCAAATCGAGAGTCCTGTTTTTAGTTTCACCCTCCTCTCCTGGAGTGTAACAGTTTAAGTACCCATTAACTTGAATTCTGTGATATAAACTTGGCAATAATGTAGGAACTTTTCATGGTCATGATTGTGTTTTTCCCTTAATGTGGTCTGAAACTTTATCTGGTGCTCAACTAAAGATTTTCCTCAAACTTTATTTCTTCTGTGTACAGTACACTTTGATTTTAGAAACTTTTCAAAAAAATTGACTCGATTGAAATTTTCTGTAGTAGAAAGAAAATAATATGAAAAGGTCCCCATATCCGTCTGTCCATCTTCAAGTATTAACTCATGGCAAGTCTTTTTTCATCTACACTAAAGCACATCCCGTGTATTAATTCATTCAGGATTATCATGTTTTAATTGAGATATAACTGACATAACATTAGTTTCAGGTGTACAACAAAGATTTGATATTGGTATATATTGCAAGATGATCACAGAATTCTAGTTAACTTCCATCATTACACATACTTACACATTTTTCTTGTGATGAAGACTTTTATTCTCTTAGCAGCTTTCAAATATGCAATTCATTCAGGATTACTTTGCCGTTTTTCACTTATAGCAGTGGTTCTCGAATCAGCTGGAGGGGACTGTTCAAGAGCAGGTTGCTGGGCCCCAGCCAAATAATTTGCGTTTCTAATGAGCCCTTGGGTGATGCTGACACCCTAGGGCCACACTTGATAGGGCACTGGCTAACACTTGTATGTGGCACAGAGCCATTGTGTTCATATAAAATTTGAGAAATAACCAAAACAGAAAAAACCATTCTGTGCTGAGGAGTCCCAATTATACCTATATAAGGACCAGGGATGTTCTAGGAGAAGGAATAACTGCCAGAGTTCTCCTGCTGTATATACTCCATATTTTTAAAGAAATTAAATTCTACTTTAAATTTACAGAGATGGCAACAAAATCATAGAGTTTAATAATGGCCAACGAGAACTACACACGGCCCAGTTCAAGAGACGGGAGTATCCAGATGGCACTGTTAAAACTGTGTATGCAAACGGTCTTCAAGAAACCAAATATTCATCTGGTCGCGTAAGAGTTAAAGACAAGGATGGTAATGTTCTAATGGACACAAAGTTGTCATGATCCTTGTGTGTGGCTAATCATGAAATAACATTAACTTGATTTTCTTCTTTAAAAAATGTACATTTTCTTGTGGATTCTGTGGTTTAATTTATATATACTGTGTGTATATATAAGTGGAAAAGATTGTTTGGAATTTTTTCATAATGTTTGAAATGCACAGGGACAGCTTTCATTTTTAGTTCACCTACCTTGTCTTTCTACGGTTCTAACCAGTACAGACTTTTAACAAGTGGATGCTTTCATTGGTTGGAGATGGTTATGAGAGCCAAGAAGTACAAGAAGCACAGTATCACAGATTTTCCCACCACCTGCCAGGCCTATGAAGGGCTTGCTTAGAAAGTTTACTGAAGGAGTAAGAGGATTTCTCCAGTCAAAATATTACTGTGCTCAATTAGTACTAAAAGTAAAGCATTATCTACCACAGAGGTCACAGAATTGGAAGTTAAAACAGTGACTGAGTACAAATAAACCGTAAAACAAACAGGCAGAAGAGTTCATTCTATGAGTGCAGATAAATCTCATGGGAGGAAAAAGCAGTTGTCACGAGGGTGACAGCTGAGAAAGGCGGGGCGTGAAAACTAACCAGCCAGTGTTAACTGATTGATAGACCACAGGTGCCTTGACCTTATTACCTGTAAGGCGGGGCTGACAGAAGCAAGATGTCCTTGAAGGGGTGGGGGGCAAGTCACCTACAAGTAGATTTACATAGTAAGTTTGGTCTAGTCACTTAGTGCAGTGACAGTAGTGCTGGCAGTAACTCAGTATTTTTAAAAAAGCCACATGTATTAATTCCAGGTGATTTAAAACTGAATAACAAAAAACTTTTCAAAGAAAATAAATAATTATATATATTACCTCAGGAATAGAGAAAGATTTTTAAATTTTATTTATTTTTTTAATTATTATTATTTTTGGCTGTGCCACACCTCTTGGGGGATCTCAGTTCCCAGACCAGGGACTGAACCCAGGCCACAGCAGTGAAAGTGCCTAACCCTAACCCCTAGACCCAGGGAGCTCCTGAGAGAAAGATTTTTAAATGAGACACAGCACAAACCTTAAAAGGTTGATGAGTCAAAAGTTTGTTTGTCCAAAGATAACACAAAAGAGAGTAAAGTCACAGCCTAGGAAAAGAAACACGTATCTGACAAAGGATTAGTAACCAGAATATATAAAGAATCCCTATTAGTTAAAATAGGTAATTACAAACAAAGGATATTAATAAGCAATAAACTAAAACCAGTAAATGCATATTTCAACAATGAGGTACCTTTTTACGTTCGTGTCATAAACTGGCAAACAATGGTCTGGCCACACCACATGCTGGCAAGGAACTTGGACTACTGATGGTAGAATTAGCTGGTAAAATCCCTTTTTTGGAAAGCAGTTGCCTCATGACCTAGTACTAAATTCCACTAAAGTATATTTACTAGAAAACCCCTCACAGGTGCATAAGGGGTTGTACAGTAGAGTATCTGTAATTGAGAAAAAACTGGTAACGACCTAAATATCTTAACAGGATAAATTATATGCACAGATGGATGTAACAGTGAAAGTGAATAAAATAGAGCTATGCATACCAATATGCATTATATAGTGGAAATAAAGTAGGGGAAAAAGGTAATTGTGTGATACTGCACACACTTAAAAATATACAGAGCTCTTGTTTATGGATGTGTGCATATACAATAAAATTATTAAGCGCTATATAAGAATGATAAACACCAAATTCACAGTATTCACCTCCTCTGTAAGAAACAGAATGAATGGGGAAGGGTAGAACAGGGGCCTACAACCATGCTGATGTCGTCTTATTTCTTCAGCTGAATGTACATTAGTTATAAAATGAACTAAATATGTTTTTTCTAATGTGCCTGAAATATTTCATTTAAAAATTACAGTAAAATAAAATAAGTAAATACTTGAAAGCAAATATTTATTAACTTTTTTTGAACAATTCCTAACAGTTCAGCATGTAAAGAACAGAAAAAAAAAGCCCAGCACTATTGCAGAACAAGTCAAGAAAAATAAGCCTGAAACGGTCTACATATAACAGAAAACTTTCTTCTGGGCTGCTATAGATGCTCTGTACTGTAAACCTGAAAAACAAAAGGTGTGTTATTTTAAACCTTTGCTTAAGGTTCAAATACAGTTACTGAATCACGTTACATTTATGTGAATGGATAAAGAGTGAGCTGTTTACCGAAGGACTTTAATAACCTTGTTATCAGGGCACTGATTGTCCAGTAGTGCTGCACGTGTAGCATAGAGTTCTGTGCTTAAATTATTCATAGTGCCTGCTTTCTGCTGCTCTCCTCCTTGCCCCCATAACCATCTGGCACCATGAATGGTCAGGACAGCCGTCCCAAGTGTCTTTATAGCTATGGAACCTCTCTGTTGCTGGTACTCAATAGGTAAGAAGGGCCTATGAAGGAGAGATCTACAAGAGAGACTCTGGTCGAGCTTTGTTGTCATTCCTTTGACAAGTCAAGGAAAGGCCAAAGGTGCTTTTCAGGGCAATTCAGTATGAATCTCTGCTACATCAGTCACTTGCCGTATGCTGACTATAAGGGTGAACAAGAAGTCGTGGTACTTACATCACTCATCTTGGTCTGCAAGCCCCATTTCTACTAATGACATATGAACTGGATACCGTTCATCTTCATATAATGTCACTATTTGTTCTGGTACCTGAGCCTAAAATTAAAAAGATACATGTCAAGAAAACACCATCATGTCTTTGCTGCCTGTTCCTCCTACAACTGGCAGGAGGGACAAGGCATTCTCTAAGTTTATTTATAATTTATACGCTGTTACTTTCAAAAGGTATCTTGATGGTTTCTTGCTAAGTCTCATTCTTTCCATCTTTTACTTTATTTAAAATGTAACTCTCCCCAAAGTTTTCCTAGATTGAGCCAGTGGGCTTTAATACTACCATCTCTGTTAAAATTCATTTACATTCTACACATAGAGCATACCTTTATGCATACAGTCAGCAAATTTTGAGTGTTACTCATAGAGGTGAATACACATGTATTTATAAGAACATCTGTTATTTTCACTGGCTTTTTGAGAGAAACCCTGCATAAGCTATTTACACCACTGCACACACGGGAACGTGGTATGTACAGAGGTTTTGAAAAAGCACTTTCTAGTAATAGCACTGCTCCATTAAGAGCTCATTCTTGTCACAGCCAGTATATCAGAAATCCCCCAGATCTCGGGTCCCCAAACCAGGGCGAGCTGGACTGAAACAGCAGTGGTGAGGACTAGGGTGAACCGAAGAGCATGCTCCCACCTAGAGGGACTGCTGTTGCCCCGCTGGTGCTAGCTGTCATTCCAGAAGATTTTGTAGTACTTAGAAATAAGACTTTTTGTATAATTTTCCAATTTCATAACAGCTGTGCACTAAATCAAACATGGTTACAAGCCAGATATGGCCTTTGAGCCACCCCTTTGTGACTAAGCCTCAAGTAGAAAGCATATTTATACCAAGCATGATCTGAATTTTCTTTTCTGGACCTTCTACTGCATTAAACAATTCAAAGTCAGTACAGTTATGAGCACCATTTGAACCTTTCTCTGACTCTTACCAGAATCCCCTTTCTGGTCTTTTCTACTTTTAGGATGCAGCTCAAATGTCACTTTCTCCCGGTCGTACTTAACTGAATAAGCACTCGAGTGTCTCCTAAGCAGGGGCTCAAACACCCTACCCTGATCTCTCCAGACAGAATTCATCGCTCCTGCTTCTCTCCCCACACCCACACCCCAAAGATACCTATACCTTTTTTATAGCATTTATTTCATTCTACCTTGTATTAGTAGTTTACGTGTTTTCCTCATTATCAGTTCTTTGATTATAGGATACTAATCTTGATCATTTTTCATCTTAGTCATTACATCACTGATATTTTGTATCATTGCAGGGCTAATCAAAAGGTTGTAAAATATAAACTAAGACATTTGAACAAGCCTTAAGATTAATCCTATAGTATTTACAACATCAAATGCTTTAAAGCGTTTTTGCATCTAGAGCTGCAGAGATAAAAAGCACTTTAGAAAGTTAACAGGGATCCTTGAAATAGCTTTGAAAGTATTTTGGCTAATTAAGACAGATATTTACCATGGAAGAAGCATAAAGTTGTTTTCCTTGAAGACAGTCTATCATAGCCCACAACGCTTCCATGCTCCACTTGGGACAGTACGGTATTCTTGCCTTTCCTACATCTCTTAAGGGAGGTTTAAACCCTGCCAAGAGAACCTTTATGGCTCGGGCTGGATACTGCATAAGATGAAGAGGAATTTGACGAAGTCTGTCACAAAAGAAATCCTTAAATTAAAATGTTAGGAATGTCACAATTAGAGGAAAAGTTAATGGTGTTGGATTTGGCAGTGATTCTTGGATATGACACCAAAAGCACAGGCAACAGAAGAAAAAATTTTGATAATATCAAAATTTAAAACTGTGCAAAGGGCACAATCAACAGAGTGAAAAGGCAACGTACAGAATGAGAGAAAATACACATTAAAAAAGACATTTCTCCAAGGAAGAGATATAAATGGCCAACAAGCAAATGAAAAGGTGCTCAACATCACTAATCATCAGGGAAATGCAAATCAAAGCCACAATGTGATTTCACCTCATACCCATTAGGATGGCTACTATTAAACAAACAAACAAAAACGGAAGATAAGTGTTGGTGAGGATACAGAGAAAAACTGGAACCCTTGGACATTTGGTGGGAATGTAAAGTGCTACTGTGGGGAATTTTGGTGGTTCCTCTAAATACTAAGAATAAGCATATTATCCAGCAACTCCACTTCTGAGTATATTTAAAGCAGGGTCATGAAGAGATTTTTGTATACCCATGTTCATAGCATCATTCACAATAGCCAAGTATCCACTGATGGGTGCATGGATAAATAAAATGTGTTATATACATATGATGGAATATTATTCAGCCTTAAAAAAGAAGAAAATTCTAACATACGCTATGACATAGTTGAACCTCGACATCATGCTAAGTGAAATAAGCCAGTTACAAAAAGACGTATGAGATACCTACAATCAAAATTCATAGAGATGGGAAAGCGGAACAGTGGTTGATGGGCTGGATGAAGAGGGAATGAGGGATCGTTTAATAGGCAAAGGGTTAGTTTCAGTTTTCCAAAATGAAGAGAGTTCTGGAGATTGGTTGCACTAACAATGTAAAGAAAGTTAACACTACTTAACTATACTTCTAAAAATGGTTAAGATGTTAGATTTTATGATATGTGTATTTTACCACTATTAAAAAAGTATCACAAACAATAATAAAAAAAGTTGGAAAATAACAGTGTCCGCAAGGATGTGGACAAAATGGAACTCCTGTGCGTTGCTGGTGGAAATATAAATAGTATAGCTACTACGGAAAAGTCTGGCATTTCCTGAAAAAGTTAAACACAGAATTATCATATGGTCCTGCAATTCCATTTTGAGGTATATAATACCCCAAACAGCTGAAAGCAGGAACTCAAAACGGCTCTTTGTATGTCAGTGTTCATAGCATTATTCACAGACCAAGTGTCCATCAACAGATGA